GTTCATTGTGGATAACCACCGGGCTAAGGTCACCCACTGCCTTTGGGTCCCACACCATCTCCTCAGTCTTCTTCACATTCAGCACTAGATGGCTAGAATCACACCACTGCACAAATCTCTCTATTTCAGAGTGATAAGCCGATGAACTGCTGCCCTTGTGCATTAAGCCAAGGATAGCTGTATCATCAGAGAATTTGATGATATAATTCTCCGGGTGGGCTCTTGTACAGTCGTTTGTGTACAGTGTGAAGAGGACCGGGGAGCTCACACAACCCTGGGGGGCTCCTGTACTGATGGTCCGGGGCTCTGAGAGGGCATTGTTGACCCTGACTTGCTGAGTGCGATTGGTTAAAAACGAAAAATACCATTTCAAGATGAAAGGATTTATATTGATCTTTATCAGTTTTTGAAGCAAGATGTGAGGCTGCAGTGTGTTAAAAGCCGAGCTGAAATCCACAAACAGTAGGCGTACATATGCCTTAGGGTCTTCCAGGTGTTTAGTGACCAGGTGTGTGATGCTATTTAGAGCATCGTCTGTGCCACGCCCTTGCTTGTAGGCAAACTGAAAAGGGTCTAAATGTACATCAACCTCCATTTTTAGCAGCGGCACCATGATCCTCTCAAAACATTTCATGACAATGGATGTCAATGCAACAGGCCTAAAATCATTGTTTACCTTTGGACAAGGTTTTTTGGGTACAGGTTTTATTATTGATTTTTTCCAGAGGGTGGGGATGGTGTGAAGATCAACAGATTTTTGAAATATGGGACACCATGCTGGTGTCAGTTCTTCTGCAAATGTCTTGAGGAGGAATGCAGAGATGCCATCTGGCCCTGTGGCCTTCTTAGTACAGGTGTGTTTGAAAAGTGATTGGACCTTTAAAGGGTCAATCACCACCCTTTCATCCTGGTCACTAGCAGGGATTGTCTCTACGATGTCTGTACATTCAGAGGAGAAGTCCTGGGTTTTAAATCTCATGTAAAAGTCATTCAGTTCATTTGCTTTTTGCAGGTCATCAGAGGTACAGAGAGTTTTTTTTAGCTGGGGTCATATTTGTGATTGCCTTCATAGTGTCCCAAAGTTCCTTGGAGTTCATTGTAGAAAAGTTTTGTTCTATAATGTCCTTATGTCTCCTTCTAGCTTCTCTGAGCATGTGGTTGAGCTCCTTTTGCACACATTTCAGTTGCGTTTTATCCCGGTTTTTAAAAGCTATATTTTTACGATTTATGCAGTCCTTAACCTCTTTAGTTATGTATGGTTTGTTGTTGGGGTACACAGTTATTTCTTTCTGAGGTATCACATTGTCAACACAGAATTGTATATAGTCAGTTACCGTCTCAGTAGCATCATCAGTAGATGAAAGGATGGTTGCTTCCAAGGCCCGCATCAGCATGAAGCAGTACATGAAAGACAAGCCAACAAAGTGGGGATACAAACTGTTTGTGCTGGCAGATTCCTCAACGGCATACACCTGGAATTTTTTTGTGTACACAGGGAAGAGTGAGTTCACCGAAGGCAAGGGACTCTGCTACTCCTCCGTGATGGACCTCCTGCCACTCCGTCTGCTCGGTGGGGGCTACACACTCTTTGTGGACAACTTTTACGCCAGCCCCACCCTCTTTGGGGATTTGTCCACTAAAAACATTGGCTGTTGTGGGACCATTCGGAAAAATCGAGTTGGTTTTCCACAAACTCAGTTGAACGCCCTTCCAAAGAAGGCTGAAAGGGGAGAATTGCGGTGGATAAGGAAAGGCAAACTCCTGTTTGTGAAGTGGATGGACACCCGTGAAGTGTCCATGTGTTCCACCGTGCACGAGGCCTTCAGCGGTCAGACGGTCCAGCGGAAAGTGAAACAGGCTGGCGTGTGGCAAACCAAGAACGTTCCCGTTCCTGACGCTGTGGTGGACTACAACCAAAGCATCGGCAGCGTGGATGTGTCCGACGCTTTGATCGGGTACTACGGCGTTCTCCACAAAACCATGAAATGGTACAAGACTTTTTTTTTCCATTTCATGGACATTGCAGTGGTGAACAGCTTCCTTCTCCACAAGGAGCTGTTCAAGATGAGGAGTGACCCCAGCAGGACAAAGCCACACACCCAGAAGACTTTCAGGGAGCAGCTTGCTGCAGAATTGTTGGAGTTTGATGAAGGCCCTGCACCTCCACCACCCCCCCCCCTCCTCCACCACTCACATGCATGCCCGAGTATTATGGGGAAGATGCCACCAAGGTCAGGAAGAACTGCAGGAGGTGCCTAGATGCTGGACTCAAAAGGGTGAAGACACCTGTGTACTGCAGGAAGTGCCAGGTCCCTCTGTGCTTCACTGTCAAAAAGAACTGTTTCAGGGAGTGGCACGACCTAAATACTGGAACATTTAGGTAGGTATAAAGTTCAGGTAGGTATAACGTTTTGCGAGTGTTTATTTTAAAAAAAAATACTGTTTTTACATACCTAGTGTGATTTTATTGAATAGTGTGTTGGTAAAATATTTGTTGTTTTTACAAACCTACAGTGTGGTTTTATTGTATAGTACATTGGTAAAATGTTTGTTTTTACATGCCTATAGTGTGTTGGTAAAATGTTTGAAATAAATCTGCCCCAGTTGGAGTCAAATGTTTCCTAATTTTTATTGTACACACACACACACACACACACACACACACACACACACACACACACACACACACACACACACACACACACACACACACACACACACACACACACACACACACACACACACACACACACACACACACACACACACACACACACACACAGTGTGGTTTTATAGTATAGTGCAGGGGTCTGCAACCTTTTTGACCAAAAGAGCCATTTTGCTCCTTTTTCCCAAAACATTTTTTGTCTGGAGCCACAAAACATATTTCATAGTTTTGTAATATCAGACAAAAACTACAGTTTTTTTGCATTTATTAGGCTATTTATTACATGATATAAAACTGTTAACCTCTAATAAGAAACAAAGAACTCTTATAAGAAACAAAGAACTCTTGTTTATAAGAGTTCTTTGTTTCTTATAAGAGTTCTTTGTTTCTTATTAGAGGTTAACTCCTCTATATCTCCTTATAAGGAGAATTACAAATAATACACAGGCCTACTTTAAAATAAATTAAACACAGCACTTGGGGAGTCTTCTGCACATTTGAAGGGACAACAATATAATTAAAATGGGCCCACTTTGAAATAAATAAAACATATAGCTGCACCCTAAAAAGAGTTAAAGGTAGGTAAGAATGGAGAAACCAGCTCGAGTGCGCTAGAATTTGAAAGTACACAACCGGAAAAAATATGCCTCTTCCTTCAGACTTTCTTACAGAGTCCCTCCTCCAACACACACGAACGCGCACATGACCAATGAGGGCACGAGATAAGTTTGTGCACAGATGGAAAGCTGACAGGCAGTTAGGCCATCCAGTTATTTTAGCCGGGCCGACTCAGATGATTGGTCGTGCTTTTTACAGCGCTACGGCTTCCAGAGATTAATTTTTGTATGTATTTATTGTCAAAGCATTTAATATATTCATTGCTATCGGGACGTTAAGAGCATTCCATGGAATATAACAAAAAGTGTTTTCTGAAATAAATTACATACCCCATTGAATTATGACTGAAGATCGTCAGCTGTCTTCCTCTCCCTTGTTGTTCCTCGATACGTAAAGGCTGCACCACCGTTGACAACTTCTGTCTACATATCAAACATACCGGTAAACCAGCATCGTTTGCTGTGAAAGCATATAACTCTGTCCACACAGAATTAAATCCTGTGTTCCTCCGGTACTTTTCTTTGATGTATCCATAGTTCGCTCATCGAGCCGTGGGTCAGGTTATTCGCCTCCAAGAAAAGGCGCTCGTGCGGGACCGTAGCAGGATGTGACGCATATTTTAGTTGACCTAATTAAAACCGTTTTGTTTTTTATTTATGTGTCACAGTATCACCTCAAAATACAAGATACGAAACATTTTCAACCATGCAACAAAATATAAATAGTCCTACAAATACTTTTATTTTATTTCCTTCTTATTTTTGTCTAAACTCAAGGGAGCCAGAGCAGAGGGCTTAAAGGGCCGCGGGTTGCCGACCCCTGGTATAGTGTGTTAAAATATTTGTTGTTTTTACAAACCTACAGTGTGGTTTTATTGTATAGTACGTTGGTAAAATGTTTGTTTTTACATGCCTATAGTGTGTTGGTAAAATGTTTGAAATAAATCTGCCCCAGTTGGAGTCAAATGTTACCTATGTTTCCGTTTTTTTTATTGTGCAAGTACACCTACACACTGACCTACAGTGTGGTTTTATTGTATAGTGCATTGGTACAGTTACATACACACACAGCTACACTTACACATACACACCTACACATACCCACACAGCTACACTTACACACCTACACATACCCACACACTTACACACACACACAGCTACACTCACACACACCCACACACACACCTACACAGCTACACACACCTACACCTACACACACTCGCACACAAAAAAAATGCAAAATTGGATTTTTTTTTGGGTCGAATTAATACCTATAGTGATTCAATGTAATACAATGATTTTTATAGTCTGGTACCTGGAAAAAGGTCAAATGGCACTGATGGAACCAGATGCACCCAAATGTGCCCAAAGCTTATTCCGCCTGGACTTTATTTACATAAACCTCTCTAAAAAGGTCAAATTTCACTTGTTTTGCATCAATCTTGATACAGGGTACTTATATGTTATACTTAGGATTCCTAAAGCTTTTAGGCTACTAACCCATCATTCAACGTTGGTCTTCACTATAAGTAATGGGTTTTCTTTAGGCGGAGACAGGAATTTACATTGTTTTGCTATGTTCCATCTGAATTTACTCTGACACAGAAACATATATATTGATTTTGACACTTCTACATCCAACTCACAGATGTAACCTTTATTTGATAACAACAATTATTCATATAAACCTTTTGGAAGTGAAGTTATAGTCATTTGTTCTGGGCATGTCATTTTCGAGCCTGAAACCTGAAAAACAGGCTTGGGGTTTAACAGGTTAAATCAAGATGAAAACAGACATTACACAGTATTCATGTGTTAAGAAGCCCACTCTTCAAACGAATTCATTCAATTCAAGCTGAAAACATTTTTTATGAAATCTAAGTTGATAAGAAAAAAGCCCAATAACTTATTTTCATAACACGCTTGAAATAAACCATTCCTAGTTCCTCTTATGATAAGCAAGCTGAGGCTCCTGTTTTAAGGAATTAGCTGCTAACAAAATAAATGAAACCCTATGGAGAGCTGTGATGTAGGCTGTTGTTTTTCTTAAAGCATATTCAAGTATTAAGCATAATTTACCTATACATTTGATTGATTTTACTGACATATAACTTAACTTATGAGGCAATATACCTCACCTCTAGTGAGTGGCCCAGCTCTTCGTATATTTTTCTGTATGTGGCCCTCGGTGAAAAAAGTTTTGACACCCCTGAATTCAACATAATTTTCCCTTAAAACGTACCCGCCCACAGAGTAAATAACTCACTGAAACAGGTCCTGTCATCCGAGCACACGTCACAGTGGGGGGGACAGCGTCTGCAGGTGCCATCATCTGCAGGGTAGGACCTCAGTGAACAGTTGAGTCTACACATACCCCCTTCCAAGTAGTGGCCATCAGCACAGGACAGACACTGGGTCTTGATCCCATCACATGAGGAACAGGAGACATCACAGGCTTCACAGGCCCCCTCTAATGTCTCAAAGAAACCTCTGAAATAGGTCAGGAGATTTATTTTAAGGCATAATAAGAAAATTGCAGTTAACAATAACACATCATTATTAAAAGAGTTTTTCTTTATTGTACTTATCAGCGTATCCACATGCTTACTCTGGGCAAGTTGACCAGCACCTCCCCTGGTGGAGAAAGAGTGTGTAGCTCCCTTTGGAGCAGCTGATGCAGTTATCTCTGGTGTCCATGCAAGACTCACAGTTTGGAGAGCAGTCCTCACACAGCTGAGTGGCAGAGCTTGTATAAGAGCCGGATGGACACTGCACTACACAGGAACTGTCCTGACTCAAGAAATTCCCTGTAATAATGCACACACACAATGAAGAAAAATAACTGGGAAAATGATTGATTGCATAGTCATGTAAGACGGTAAATATTTGTACCTTTGAAACAAGTAGAACAATCGAGTGCTTGTGGGCCAAAGCAGGTCTTACAGGATGCATCGCACGTGTGGCATTCACTGAATTGTCCTAACAAATAAAGCAGAGTAACTGTAATATAAGATAACATCCCAGTTGACAGAACCAGTTGTGAAAGTACTAAGATATTTTACTTAAAAGTAGGAATATCACAGTATAGTAATACTCTTTGCAAGTAAATGTTCAGCATTTAAAATTTGACTTCAGTACAACATTTTAGCAAACAAATAGTACCACAAGTGAATGTATTCATTAGAATGTCCCAACTAATAATCGTATTATAACTGTTTTTTTAACTATTGATAAATGTATTTGTTTATCCCTTCCATATTGTTGGGCTTATTTTATTAACTGTATGAACTGCTGGGTAGCTCAAACTATAATATTCTATATCGTAATTTATTACTTGATAAATAGATCACGTAAAAATCTAAATTTGCAAATGAACTTGTAACTAAATATGCAAAATAAATGTAAGAGGTACAATATTTGTGAAAAGTGTTGGAGTATAAATAGCATTTAATAAATAACAGAAGTAGCAATTTTGGTTAAAATACTCATGTAAAGTACAGGTATCCTGACTTTATTCTTAAATACCAGACTTGTGTTGATGTACTTAGGTATTTTTCCACCCCTTACAAGAATTAAAACAATCAAATCCTGTTAACCTGAGCAATTGAGCACAGCAATTTGAGAATTGTATGCTTTACCCACTTTGACCACTAGAGGGAGGCATAGTAAGCTGTTTTGGCAAAATGATGGCTGCCCTTCAGAAAACCTGCAGCATGTTAACTCTACTAAAGGAATCTAACATTCCCTCTTTTAAAACAAGATGAAAATTAACGTAAGTTAATACATTTTAGAATGGTCTGTTACACAGAGAAATTATAACACAAATGTTTAGGAGGGCTTAATGCTGGCCTGAAAAAAATAAATAAAAAAGAGTGATGTATTAACGGAAGTTGACCACAGATGATGTAAATGACTATAATCAAGCTATTACAAAAAGACTCATAGAAGTTAAAGATACTTGCAATGCAATGCCCCGAAAAAATGGATTTCAATGGTCAGCACTGGTTAGTTTTGAAAACTATTGTTAAAATGACGAGAGCTGATGACAATAAATGTTAGACTGACTGATCTACACAGGGATACTCAATCCAATGGGTAAACATGTACATTGATCAGCATGATTACCCTGTTGAGTTGATAACTACGGAGTGTTATCCAACGTTGTTGCAAATAAATAAAGCAAACAGAGTAACTGTATCGCATAATATAAGATAACATCCCAGTTGACAGAACCAGTTGTGAAAGTACTAAGATATTTTACTTAAAAGTAGGAATATCACAGTATAGTAATACTCTTTTACAAGTAAATGTTCAGCATTTAAAATTTGACTTCAGATATAGTACAACATTTTAGCACACAAACAAATAGTACCACAAGTGAATGTATTCATTAGAATGTCCCAACTAATAATATTATAACTGTTTTTTTAACTATTGATAAATGTATTTGTTTATCCCTTTCATATTGTTGGGCTTATTTTATTAACTGTATAAACTGCTGGGTAGCTCAAACTATAATATTCTATATCATAATTTATTACTTGATAAATAGATCACGTAAAAATCTAAATTTGCAAATGAATTTGTAACTAAATATGCAAAATAAATGTAAGAGGTACAATATTTGTGAAAAGTGTTGGAGTATAAATAACATTTAATAAATAACAGAAGTAGCAATTTTGGTTAAAATACTCATGTAAAGTACAGGTATCCTGACTTTATTCTTAAATACCAGACTTGTGTTGATGTAGTTAATAATAATCTTTACAGTTTGAATAAGCTGTTCACAAACTGTTTTCTGGCTTTATATCTAGACTTTTATATGTATGGTTCCCCACCCTTTCCATCATTAAGGTGTGACCTGATGAGTATGGTGATTGACACTGCAAGAAAAGGTGAAGATAATTATACTGTGTTAGCAAATAATATTCCTGTCTAGATAGTTGAAACCATGACTACTGTTATTCATCCTTTTCATCCGACTCCCCAATGTAGCTGATGATTTTCGAGGCACTTTCAATCCAAGGGTGTCCTTTAAGAAAACCACATTCCTGGGGCACTTCCACTGCACCTCTCTCAGTTGGATTTCAGATGTTAGGGGATTACAACTATACACAAGCAAAGAGCTCAACTTTTTTGAAATGTTGAGCACCAAATACCCAGAATGTGTTGGTGTCTGGAAGCACAATACGGCCGTGTAAGTGATTAATGCATCAAAGGGAGCTCTGTACAGCAGAGATGCAGAGACCATGGTCCGCATTAGTGAGTGGCCTTATGGTTTATAAACTAAGCCTTTAATACAAGCTTGAAAAGCTTTTCAAGAAGCCAGTGATCTTATTGTGTGGCAAGTTAGAAGCGGAAACTCTAGAGGAGATATGCAATCAACATGCAGTAACGTGATTCATCAGATAATCAAATATTTGATCAAATCGGATCAAAGAGTCAAAAAGCCCATGTCATCTTGTGGAGAAACATAACGTTTTTTATATGAACATAAGCAGGGTTTCGCTGATCTAATGTAATGCTATGGTTGTACAGTAAGTAACAGATCGGGTTAACCACAACACAGAAAGCTGTTATTACCCGTTATTATAAAGTATGTGTGGCGGTGTGTTTTCAAAGATATAAAGACCCAAAAGGCACCCGAATCAGAGAATACTCAGAATTCTGCATACTGTAAGTACTTAATTATAATTAAGTACACAAATGACATCAACGCCATCTCTTCAGAGAGCTACAGGTGACCTGTGCAGCAACACATTTCAATCAATATTTGTCAATACTAAGAGCTGCTAGATTGTGCTGCTGTAATGGAATATATAAGGAGAATAAGAACATACCATGTGGTCCAGCTGGAGTTTCATCTGCCTCCTGATCCCTGCCTCTGGCCCTCTTTCTGATACTTCATCTTTATTCCTCACATATATATCTTCTTCTTCTTCACTAATGTCTTCATCTCCTCCTCTTCCTCCTGGTCTCTTAATCTCCTCCTCTTCCTCCTGCTCTGACCCTCTTGGTCTCTTCATTTCTCTTTTCCTTTTCCTCTTTCTGTTCGTCCTGATCACTTCTCATATGTCTTTTTGCTGTTGTTGAATCACTCCTATACTCTGGCCTGCAAGAGTCTACTTGTGAAAAGCACTGGTACAAATGCTTGTATAACTTTACACGTTAGGGCCATGTAGCCTAGCTAATATGTAGCATATCATAAATATAACATCAGAAAGTATTGATCAAGCGCACACAGGCAGCTATGTTTGGATCCAGTTTTTACGGTAAAGGATGTATCCTGGTTTCATTGATCTGGCCTCATGGCTGTGATGTGTAGTTTACGTGGATTTAATAGGAGGCTACCGCGTAGTTTAACAAAGTGATCGATCTCCCAGATAACGCTGTGTGCGTAGTATTTTGTAACGTAACGCCCCAAACAGCGCCCATCTGTTAAACGCTATCGATTCAAACGGCAGCGTTTTATTAATATTTAGTTTCAAGCACTCGTCCTTAGTAAAAACAAAACTAGTGGAAATGGAAATGCTCCCAGGGGAAGCTGATCCATAGGTGCTGGGACAGCTCGCTCCCTCTCTGCAGCGGTGTGAGCCGCGGTCTGTGTGAACAACCCGGGCTGCTTCTCAGGTCGACTATTTTCATTTCCTCGCTCCTCGGTCCTCGGTCTCACCGGAAGTTGATTTGCCTGCGCCATCTTGAGTACCGTCCCATGGCTCTTATTTCTGCCGGAGGACCGAGGATCGAGGAGCGAGGAGCGATAATGGAGGAGCGATAATCGAGGAACCACCAGACCATCCTCCGATGAAATCCTCAGATACTCGCCCCGCCCCCTTACTGTGTATCGCTCACTGATTGGACGATGCAGTGCATGCACTGATCTCATGCTTCTTGACATGAGAGCCGTTTCCCAGCGGAGTGAAGAAAATACATGAACCTCACGGGAGTCACTCCTCAGTTTATACCGTGTTTTGTTTCAATTCCTGTTTCATTTAGTTACAAATATGTGATATATCTGAACAACAAAGTGGTCAAAAATCCTTTTATTCATTTGTTTGAAACATTTTCATGATCGCTTTTTTCGTTTTACATTTTCATTTATTGTCATTTCCATTCAGTCAGTCATTAAGTGCCATTACAATGTTAATGTGCTACATATCCAAACAAACAAACAAACAAACAAACAAAGTGTGCAATCCAATGAATGTTAATCTAACTGGGTTTTGATAGATAACATATCTCTTTTTCTTCTCTCAATTATTTTATTTCTTTTGTGCACTAATCAATATTAATCAAACTATTGTTCGTTTATACATTTTAAGAATGGCGTTTATCTTTTTTGAGAATGAGTTCTTATTTTATTTTATTTATTGGGATCTACAACAGATGATACACATGTTTGTGTCAGTAAATGTGTACTAACAGAGGCGGGGGTGTGTGTGGAAATAACGGGGACAGAGCTGGCTGCTGTCAGACGATCAGCTGTGCAGCGTCATCACAAACGGACGTCACTTCACGTGACGCTCCGGAGGAAAGGACGTCCCATTGCTCTTAAAACTCATTTCCCTGCTTCTCGTGGTTTCCTTGCGTCCCTCCATGCTTCCCTGGTGGGAGGGACTAAACGCAGGGAAACGACGCAAGTGAGGGAAGCAAGGATTTCATTTAATCGACCTGAGAAGCAGCCCCAGTCTCACGGCATTTTGTGTTCACCAACACGATTTTTAATCTATTGATTCGTGTTCACCAACACGATTTGCCCCTTTTTTTCGTGTTGCACAGCACGATTTTAAAAGCAATGTATTTCTACTGCCTGCAGCACGTCTTTTTCTCCGGTCGGGTCGTGGGAGACCGGAAGCTGTGTGGTTCATAAAAACATGTTCTTACTCAATATCAAGCCACAGTTATTGCTTTTATTTTAAATCGTATAATCTCGGACTTTTGTTGCCGTCTGTGAGGAAAATAAATGGGGCTCAGAGCCTCAGGATACTGAAATCTGTATTTTTTAAATCTTTTTTTCCTTCTAATTTGTTATTCTTTTCAAAATAACACATTGTTATTTACTCACCAATAACACACAATTATCCTTGCTTTTATTTATTGGTTTAATTCCATAATCTCGGGCATTTTTGGCGTCCGTCAGGAAATGAATTTCAAAATAAAAATAACCGGAAACAGACGTAGGCATTTCGAGCGATTACCCAAGATCCTCAGCTATGGTTTTAAGCTCGCTTATTGGATGTTTTAGCCGCAATGCATGCTGGGATTTGGTGTTTATATGATATGAAATCCGGAAAACATTTTAAAAGAATAAAATAATACTTAATTCCGAGCACTCTTGCTTTTCTCTTTGAAAGTCATCACATAACGGCATTGTAATACACGGTCCGGCTGCATTGTATATTACAGATCTGCCGTAGTTCTTTATTTATAGAGCCCTGATGAGAAGACCTTTGGAAAAACTGAAGAAATGCCGCCGAAACTGAATACTTGACGTGGATCATAAATATATTCAACAATTAAACAACATCTTCAATTTATCTTCACACAATACGTCTCCTTGCAGTATCAACACTAATTCGGCTGACTTTTACATTTGATCTAATTCACAGATAGGTTATATTAACCATAACGGTGCACAGCTGATATAAAAGGACTGTAGTTTTTAAAGATATTACTGATTTTCTTTGAATGTAAGAGTGTAAATACTGAGTCTGAAATAGTATAGCAATATGCTGTAAAATTACGTGAAAGCATGCATAAAACTACACATCTTCAGATGTTGTACGAAAACACAAGTGTCCTACATTTATAATACAAAGTTATTATGGCTGTGTGTACCATGTGTGCACCTCCTAGTGGTTAAAGCAAAAAATATTAAGAGTACATACTTTCATAGGGGGAAAGTATAAATATAGAATGTAAAAAATGTGATCTCTACAATAAAACAGTTTAGTGTTGTACAAAGATATTAATAGGAGGAGGTGCAAAACAGAAAAACGAATTAACCTTTATTTAAACATTAAATAACAGATTAAGGTCTTCTTTTAAATAAGAAAAAAACGTTGGAGGTATCTATCTACAGATAAATATTAAGCCTGACAAAGTACTTAACGTCTAATATATTGCTTTCCTGCAATGTTAACTATGTTGAAGCACTTATTTTTAACTGATATTATACATATGAATTATACTCTTATGTATGTAGATAGAATAAGACATTTGCAGAATATGACAGTTTGATGGTGGAGGTACACACATATTGATAGATGTCTTGTTGAGGAACCTGTGACCCAAGTGTTTCATTCATTGCATAACTACACCGTAGTTGTGTATATGATATGTCAATAAACCTTTGAACATTTTGAAAGGGATGTGCAAATAGCCATAATATACAGTCTTTAATTAACTATTAGTAGAGAATAACAAGTAATGAATATACTTTATTACTCGTTTCCATTCATGTCAATTGCAGATACATGTTTAGTCTTCTCAAGCACCAATTATCAAATATCTCTCCTGATTGTTGGCACTTGACAATCACCTTACCTGAATTTTACTCAGGTGTAACTAAAGTCTGATTTAAGGGTTGTTTATATTTCACATAATTAATCAGAATCTGCAAAGTAACTCAAATAAATGCAGTGGAGTAAAAATACCAGGTTAACCTCTAAATTGTAGTGGAGTATAATTACAAAGTAACAATGAGCTGTCATGTGGGTATTAATGCTGCGCATTATGGACACAAGCGATTTTCACCCATTTATTAATTATATGTTTTACATTTGATAACACAAATGTGTTTAATACTGACAAATTCTAATTGTGAGAAAAACGAAAACGTTCAGTAGAGACGTCCCATAGAACATTTTGTTCTGGGGGGGCGTTCGATTCCAGTTTTAGATAGTCTGGCGTGGTTTCGTTCCATTTCACACAGCTGTTTGACGCTCTGCGTAACATTACGGGACTGTAGTCCTAAACGATAGCTGGGGATTATGGGTAGTGTAGTGTCTTCGGCCATCCTAAACTCAGAAATGTTGACAATCTCAATGATGCTCGAAATGTCCCTTATAGGCCTACGTCTGTTTCCGGTTATTTTTATTTTGAAATTCAGTTCCTGACGGACGCCAAAAAAGCCCGAGATTATGGAATTAAACCAATAAATAAAAGCAACGATAATTGTGTGTTATTGGTGAGTAAATAACAGTGTGTTATTTTTAAAAGAATAACGAATTAGAAGGAAAAAAATATTTAAAAATACAGAATTCCGTATTCTGAGGCTCTGAGCCCCATTTATTTTCCTCACAGACGGCAACAAAAGTCAGAAATTATACGATTTAAAATAAAAGCAATAATTGTGGCTTGATATTGAGTAAGAACATGTTTTTATGAACCACACAGCTTCCGGTCTCCCACGACCCGACCGGAGAAAAAGACATGCTGCAGGCAGTAGAAATACATTGCTTTTAAAATCGTGCTGTGCAACACGAAAAAAAGGGGCAAATCGTGTTGGTGAACACGAATCAATAGATTAAAAATCGTGTTGGTGAACAGGAAATGCCGTGAGACTGGGTTGGTGTGAACGCCGCTCCGCAGTTTAATGCAGGGCCGTAGCTGCGTTTTTAACGGGCCTAAAATGATATTTAAAATGATTCACTTTTAACAAATGTAATGCTTGTTTTGTTGCTTGAGAAGCTTGTGGAAATAGTGTAGGTTTGTTTTAGTACAGTTTTAGGGAAACAAAAATTAGGGGGGCAGCTGGGGGGGCAAGGCTCTACAGTGTCACCACAATCAGAACAGACTGTGCCCGAATCATGACTGCTGCAATGAGACTGCTCACATTCCAGCACATGCCGTGTGTTGCTCACGTGTTGCAAAGGACCATCACAGTTTGCCTTGCTGACAGCGGGTTCAGAGGCACATTGGCAAGATGTCGTAAGATAGTGGGGCATTTTAAACACAGCCCCTCAAACACAGAGGAACTGCACAAGGAGCAAACAGAACTAGAACAAGACAAAGAGCCACTGATACAGGATGTTTCCACAAGGTGGAATTCAACACTGTTTATGATCTCTCTGCTGAAGAACCAAGAGGCTGTGAAGGCTACTCTAGCCAAACAGAAGCACAAGCTCACCATGTTGACTACAGCAGAGTGGGGCAGACTGCAGAGGCTCAAGACCCTCCTTAAACCATGCAGGTAAACACCCACCAACTGTTTTATTAATGGGATTAATTCATCATTGCTGTCCCTTGAAAAACGTTGTGAATTGACTATGATTGTGCAGTATAAATTAAATTGCTTTTCCAAAATGTATTGTACTGAATATCAATATCACTATGACTATAGTATAAAGTTGCTACTGTTTTTAATCTACTATTAATTGGTACAATAATAAATCACTTTCCTAAACTATCCACTGCAGATATGTGACTGAGCTCCTTGGGGGTGAGACTTATGTCTCGTGCTCTGTTGTGTTACCTGCTCTCCGCCACCGGACCCGCACCATGGAGTTCTCAGATAACGACCCAGCCTATGTGGTGAGGTTCAAGGCTGCCTTTAAAAAGGACCTGTCTCAACGCCAAGATGCACTCAACCATGGATGGCTCAGGGTGGCTACAGCACTCGACCCGCACTTTAAGGTAACATGTGTAATGGTCTTCTTTGTTTTTCTCTTTTCTTGCTTTTTGACCTCCTTTCCCCTGCCCCCCCCTCTTCTTCCCTCCCCCCTCTTTCTTTCTATGGAATAACAATATGATGGGAACCATGTACGAAAATGAATTTCACCCACCTTTTTACTCTGTAAATCTGTGATGTGACAATAAACCTGATTCTGATTCTGATTCTAAGGACCTAAAGTGTCTACCAAGAGGAGAGCGAGGAGGGGTGTGGACCAGCGTTGAGGCACTGCTGCAAAAAGAACCAGACAGAGCCACTCCAGAACCCACAGAAGAGCCAGCAAGGAAGAGGAGCTTCCTGCTGTTTAATTCAGACTCTGAATCAGAGGATGAAGAGGGGCCCAACGGGGCTCTGGGCCACTACAGGGCAGAGCCCACCATCAGTGAGACAGACTGCCCACTGCAGTGGTGGTCCACTCATGAGGGGGCCCATCCACAGCTTTCTGCCCTGGCCCGCAAGTATCTGGGCAGCCCTGCCACTTCTGTCCCTTGCGAGAGACTTTTCTCACTGGCAGGTAACATAGTTCAAAAGAAGAGGGCAGCCTTGAGCTCTGAAAATGTGAACAGGCTAGTTTGTCTCAGCAACTGGCTGAAAGAGAAGAAGCAGAAGAAGTAGTCTTAGAGGTATCCTGAGGCCAATGGGCTTGTTACTGAAATGTTGATCAAACAGTGGCCTATGCAACAGAGATTTTATTTTTCATCAGGATATTGGAAGAATAGGAGGGATTGAGGTCAATCACTGGCACTTTTTTATTTTACTTTAAATGGTACACTTTATGTTGAACTATTTATTATGTTGTTGGTGCAACTGGCACTTTATGTTGAACTGTTTATTGTTTTGGCCAAGGTTATTGAGATAGTTGGACTGAAATTGATTAGATTTTTTAAATCAACAAAGTCTGTTATGGCCTCTGAAGCAAGAGAGATGTTTTCGAATAGTCAGGGTTTCCAATGTTCTAAATGTACTAGAAAGTATTGTGTTTTACTTGAAAAAGTACCACCTTGAAAAAAAATAAACAATGTTTTGTTGCTTAAGCTTATGTATTCAGTCATTATTCAATGGTATACTAAAATCCATGTGAAAATTGCTTCTCACTGTTCTCAGGTCAAATATGTATATTTGATTAAAAATGCGATTAATTTCGATTAATTAATTACAAAGCCTCTAATTAGATTAATTGTTTTAATCGAGTCCCGGCTCTAATAAAAATGTAATTATGGATTATAAACAATTGCTTCAAAGCCACATATACATTATCAACCAATGGATCTACCGATTCAGCCGCGTTTTTTCTTTCTCGTTTTAATGCCATTGAACACGTCTTTTTATCAGATTGACAGCTACGGTGAGACGATCTCCCGTAAAAGCTCCGTAAAAGGTACGTGTTGTGATGTCTGTGTTTGCTTCCCCTGTTGCGAGATCGGATCGCTTAGATACTATACTTAAATAATCTGTGGAGTCTCAGCTTTAATCGGATATATTGTATGTGCAGTTTCGATAAGTAATAAGGGTATCTTTATTTTGAATTCTGTGCTAAAGTGCGTTATTATTTTTTTTTAAATGAATAAAACTGCACGTCCCTGCGGTGTGAATACCACGCATGCGCATACCGCGGTTATCGCCATGACACGGTATATCGTTCAGCCCTACTGTCTACCCATAAGCCCCCCCCCCTCTCAATCAACTTCCTCTTGACTGCCTTTTTTACTTACTTGTTTGCCTGTCCTTGTTTGTCTACCCTCCCTCATACTGTAAAGCGTCTTTGAGTTGTGAAAAGCGCTATATAAATAAAATGCATTATTATTATTATTATTATCTGAACAGGACATCGCACGCTCACTGCTTGATAGCGCTCGAAGGTCCGTTTACGCCGGTTGTTAAACAACATCGTTATGGGGAAATGCAAGTTGTAAAGTGTGTCGCCAATGTAACCGGTTAAAACTTGAAGTGGCGATGAGGTCTTAAAATGTATGGAAAGGGTCTTAAAAAAGGTCTTAAAAGGTATTACATTTGACTTCAGGATTCCTGCATATACCCTGTGAACTTTTTTAACAATAAAAACAGTGTTTTGATACTGAAACATTCATTTTTCACGTTTGATTTTTCACTGTAGGTTACTATGGAGACGGTTTGAATGCCATAATTGTGTTCGCTGTGTGCTATATGCCTGAAAGCAGTCAACCAAATTACAGATACATCATGGACAATTTATTCAAGTGAGTGTTTATTTGATTTCTTCTAGCCTGGTGAGCAAACCATTTGGATCCAGCGCTAATGCTATTTCCCTGTTTCCTGCAGGTATGTCATCGGCACACTTGAACTTTTGGTTGCTGAGAACTATATGATTGTGTATTTGAACGGGGCCACCTCAAGGAAAAAGATGCCAACTGTCGGCTGGCTCAGAAAGTGTTATCAGCAGATTGACAGGAGGTCAGTCGGAGTGAACGTCACACTCAGAAACAAGCAGAGCATCATGCCAATCCTCAGACAGTTGTATCTGTTGTGGAATATTTTCCAAGGCCCATAACTTTGACCCAGTGTATCAGTTCAAACTGTCCTGACTGAGCACAGGCACCTGTAACCTTGGCTGCTGTGCTCTCAGTGTTTTGTCTCCCTGTTCCTGCCTGTTGGCGTCAGCTGATAGAGGTGTTATCATTCTATCTTGTTATGCAGCATGTTGATGATGCTCTCTGAACTAGCTAAATACATGGGTCTGGGGTAGAGTTCTTCAGAATTGACGTGGCAACTCTACCGTGAAGTCAGAACCTCTGACTCTTGGACTTGTGATGTGAATCCTCCGGCCGTTAACTCCAAATAAACCATCATGTGTTTGACATCAAAGCTACTGCTCTTCCCGTGTCTCCTTCCTGAGTCGGTGACTCCCACTGCATTGCTACACAGAAGTTTCCTCTACAAATTGGCATGTCGGCAGGATGCCAATAAATCTACAGGGCTGGTAAGTGTGATTTTCAAATCTACATTTGGACATTGCCTTACCAGAATCTGTGATTGACGGTATCCTAAAATTACCTGTGAAACTGATCGGCTGCGTTTCCTTTTGGTTAATGAACATTTGGGGATGATAAACCCAGGGAATCAGTGTCTGGGGACTCAGTCCTGGCTCATTTCCTCTGTGTGTGCTGCTCGGGACGGAAGTGCCATACAGGCATACACAGCTCATGTTTAGAGATACCTTAAGGAAAGAGCATCAGTGAAGTGGAGCTTCTGTGTGAATTGAAAGCAATGTAAAAGATTTGTATTGGACAAATCACCGGATTTTGAGGGTCTTAGCGGCCAAACATAGCAGTTGAAAATAAGCAGCCAGAGATATTTACTGCTATCACCTCTCTGTAAAAACACGGCTCCAGCTGCAGCCTTGCGTGTGTGTGTGTAAAAGAAACCTCACTGCGTGTGTGTGGGGCTGGAGCAGTGCAGGCTGAGAGGGAGAAAGTCACAGCTTATTGCCTATAGGCTTTAACTCACGGCACCACCGTCCTTCAAACGGGACGGTCTAAAAGCACTCGTTGTTTAGGACCGCTTTTCTCATGGTTAGACGGGCCAGCGCGAAGTGCGTGCATCACCCGATGCGCTACGGCTCTCTGGAGCAGGTAGCGGTCAGGAGTGCATACATACAATTATAGGCTAATTGATCAGAGGTGTGTAGTGGCAAGCAAGCATAGGCAAACTGTGTTTCACCTTGAGGTGAACTCGATAGCAAGTATATATAGGCTGGTCGTACGGACTACAGTCAACTGAGCTGTTGTTTGGATAGAAAGGGCAGGGAAAAGTCTGTGGGCTCCGATCGGGGGGGCACAGCGCCACTAGAAACAAATAGCCTAGTGGTTGTCGCAAGAGGATAAGCTAGTTACCGCTCTTGGACGGCTTTCAGGCACCGATAAATCACTTGTATACAAGGGTGAGGCGTGAGAAGACGCCCCACTAATTCCCCCCCCCCTCTAAGATCTCTAAAATCCGGACTAAATTGAGCTGATGAGCTTTGCTGTCGCGCTGGTGTTTATTACGAGTTCATGTTTTGTTTGTCTGATTGTTTGTATGGGGGTCTATATTGGTTTGTCCCGCCGTCTTGTGTATGTTTTGTAACAACTAATTAATCAGTCCATAGACAGGGTAAAATGAACTAAACTTTAATTATCTCACCAAAAGTAAATGACTTGAGAAAAATAAAAAGAGTGTTTTTATGTCCTGCCTCTGAGTGTGCAGGGGAACATGTAAACAAGAAGCACACTCTTCAGGGTGAGCGCTAGGTGTAAGAAGAAAATAAGATTATATTGCTTTAAGAATCCATTCTTAAATGGTATTGCTGGTATGTTAAGATATCTTTGTGACCTTGTATAAACCCTATGCCCGTCCTGCGCCCCGAGACCCTCAGAGACCTGCCTGAGGAGATCAGGGTTGCAAAATCTGGTTTTAGGTCAATGTTGTATTATTTGTTTCATTTATTCTTAATCTATGTATTGTATAGTAATAATGAATAAAAACGTAATGTATTGAACACATTCCGAAACAAAGCAGATAAGCAGAACAAGACTCAGACATAATACTAATTGTTGTTGAAACCTTTTGCGCTGTTGCAGCAAAATGGAAACTGTGTTAATTATTCTGTTCCAACTGGCCACTGGAATCAGGTAATTAATATAAGTTGAAGTTCAATTACAGTTTTAAAAATAGTTTAACATTCTTTATTAAACTGCTTCAAATTATTTCTAGTATCAACCAATTGGTCTGCATAGACAATACTAAAATTAAAATAGTTGTTAAACTACTGACAAGTTTTCTGAAACTGAGCTTATGAACAATAGAGTAAAGGTTGCTGGTTAAGCCAGGATCAATATATTTGTTGACGTTTTTATTGTGTGCATAATAAATGTGTTAAATTAATTGAGCAATTTTTTTTAAAGTATAATGTTGCAATTTCTTTAAAATAAGTAATCACAGTTACAAAATAGATGTTGTTTTCCAAGGGCCTCTCTTTCACAGGCACTTTGAATCATAACACTTCCAAGTCCTACAGAGATCAGTATCACTTTGTGTTGCAAGCCAAATCCAGGGGTTCTACTCGAGCCCAATTTTAAATACCATAAAGAAAAGTATTGAACCCAGCTCGAGCTAAATGTGAAATGTATTTAATTAATGTGCAAGTGTTTTGATTTATTTAAAATGTTCCAGTCTAGCTTCCTTCAAGTTTAGTATAAACAACAGATTGGTTCTCATAACATTCTCACTGTGTGCTGTCCCAAATGTTTGAAACCTTGGGCAGACAAGCACACACACACACACACACACACACACACACACACACACACACACACACACACACACACACACACACACACACACACACACACACACACAACACACACACACACACACACACACACACACACACACACACACACACACACACACACACTGTAGAGTTATATTTGTATTTATTCATGTTAGCAAACTATGGATAAGCTTAAAATGGGAATAATTTGGGTAAAACTGTGAGCTGGATTTGGGGCCTGTTGACATGTGTTTTTGAGGACAAAGGAAGATGGGGGAAGGTGAGAGCATGTCCTGATTTGCATTCAACTTAGATCTAGCTGCAGTGTTTGTGATGTTAAGAGAGGTCCCTTGGGTTTCTCTGGTGCTTATCAATAGTAGCAGTTAAGTGAATACTGTTCAAACAATACCTGTGTTTGTGTTTTATATTGATTTCTCTGTTTTATCCTTTCATAAATGTAAGGACTACAAATGGCTATAAACATTCTGGGCTGGTTGGAGTAAACAGGGTTTTATGGCTCTGTGGGGGAGGTGTAGGTATGCAGGCCTTGAGACCTTTGGTTGTAAAGTGAGCCTGTTTGGTTTCCTGCTGCGTTTCCTGCTGCGTTGCGTCTCCCAATGAGATGACCTGAAAAGATGACCAGCTGACCTAACACCAAACCCCTCCTTCTTACTCTGGTATATATCCGGTGGATCCCTGGCGTTCGGCCTCTTCTTCACATGCTGCCCTCGGGTGAAAGTAGCTCTGTAGTATGCGGACTAGAGCAGGAGTAAGCCGGCATTACTCCTTAAGCATTGCAATATAACTGTAATATATCATGTTGTATTGTAATGATTGTATTGCATTGTCATATTGCCATTAAAGTAGATTATTGTTAACGGTTACTTTGTAGATATGGATTCCTTCCTGTATTATAACCAGCTTCATAGGAACGCGCGGAGATTTGAAAAGCGGACCAGTTATCCCTCCAAATCTCTAACAAAATGGTGACCCGACGTCTAGAGATAACGAAGCTGAGGAAGAATTCAGACGCTTTCAAACATCTCAGACAATCAGCAGGACTCTGCAACTTTGCAAATAAGGTAAGCAGACGATGAAAGTCGCCTGTCTGTAATTGGATACGCTAAAACTTTAGGATTGTCTGTAGGCGTTTCACAGTGTTTTTATAGTTTAAATGGAATATACAATGCATATTTTACTATGTTAGGAAAGTTATATACAAAACGTAAACGTGGATCGACAGGTAGACGAAAGTCCTGCGTGACGTAAAATAGAGCAGTTTGGCGTGGATCTGCAGGTGTTTATTCCTGAGTGGCGTAGAAATGGTGCAGTTTGTGTGAATGCGAGGTTTGAATCCTGCACGGCAAAACCTGAAAACTCGATATATCAGATCGAGTCGCCGTTTAAAACTGGGGTTTAAATAACAGACCAATGCTAAAAGCTTAAAGCCAGAGGTCTGTTATATATTAAACCAAGGTAGAGCGTTTCCCTTTGTCTGGAAACTTCTGCTGCTGCCATCTAGTGGCTGAAAGGGGGTATCACACCCTTGAAACTTATGCGAGCTTAGAGTTTAATCATTACATTGCTGGCCGGTATTGTTTGGTAAACTGGTACAAAACAATAAGGGATTGAACATTTTTTACAACGACAGCACCAGGAGATGAGTAAACTCAAGAATCTGTAGAGTGTAAATACATTGTGCAAAACACATTTTACACTCGAACTGTTTGCAAATGTAGACAATATAAATAAATGTTCAGAAAGAAGACAGGCCTACACTTGATTCAAATTTCATTACTGTGATCCGATTGGTGTGCTCTGCAGGTTTACTATTGTTCGAAGTAACAGTGGGATTTAAAATGAGAGAAGATATGGAGATGTTCTTTCATAGTGTGTGGAATATGTGATGCTGGAAACATGTAAGTATTTCAGAGTTGTGTTGGGTAAATATGTAACAATGGATGAAACAATTTTTGGAGTGAGTTTTTGTAATATCATAAGTAGACATTAATTATGTTGTTTAGATGGCATTTAACAACTAAGACAGATAGTATGATTAGAAAGAGACAGAGTGGAAAGGGTTGGATTTATTTAACATCAGTGTGCTAGACTTCTTATAGGTAATGTGTACCGGGACCTGGAC